TTGAAGTTGTGCAGTTCACATCCTGCCCAAAGAAGCAGTGGCGCTGTGTCAACCCCATCTCATTCCTCTGCTTTTGGGAGTCTCCTGCATCATTCAGCTGGATTGAATGATAAGTGTCCACTCTACCTTAATAGTGCCTGAGCCAGCCTTGAACAGGGAGGGAAGCACTTTAGTTACCTCAGCCCCACCACACGGTAGAACTTAGAAGTCATTCCTTGTGTCAACTAAATGTGGAAGATGAGAAGCTAGGAGGGAGCTCTGAGGGCTCCCTAGAGACTGTCACTCTTTAGCTTTGTGGTCTCAATTTTACTCCTGGTCCTAACACCTTCCTGGATCATGCTCAGCTCTTTGGGCACACTTCCATTTCCCCAGCCTCTCTTAGCCCCAGGTCACTGTCTTTTGCTTTGGTCTTAAGCTGTTGTATTTCCCAGAATGCATTTTGCCCATGTCAAATGTGAAATAAAGTTCCTGGGATATCTGTGAGCCCTGGGATCATGCCTGCCATCTCCTTTCTAACACCAACACGAAAGAAGCCCTATATGGGGAAAAATATCTATGAGGGCACTTTACTCTGGACTAAGTTCATTTTTCAAGTAGTCTAAGTTAGACCGTAAAGTGATGGTGGTGGTGAGCAGGAGTTAGCAACCAATTTAGTTTACTTTATGGCCTAATAATAAAATCCTCATAGTAAAAGAGAAGAAAAGAAAACCTCTTTTCAAGCCTCCTTCCCCCTCAAGCTTGCCTTCTTGTCATTGTCATTATCACATTACTCCTCCCTTATCACACTGCTCCTCACAAGACAGGTCTACACCCCCTGCTCTTCCTGGCCAAGCTACCCGTTCGTTCCTGGGGCAGTGATGTCTTCCTTCCCCACCATTCCGTGAAGGCTGCTCTCTCAGAGACCTCTAATGATTTTCCAATGGTTAAATCCAGGAAACTTTTAAATCCTCTTATTTGATCACTTCTAAACTTTCTTCTTTAGATTTGGTGACATTATAATGTTTCAATTCTTTTTCTATCTCTCTGACCACATTCTCACTATTTCTTTGGCAATTCCTTCTGCCCACAACTTAAATATCAATGTTCTCTGGGGTCCTCTCTATCTGACTGTCTGTCTTCTGCACATCTCCACTTGGATGCCCCTCAAACATCTCAGGATTTAGGATGTCCAGAGCTGACATCATTGCTCCTTCCCTTATCACCTTGTCCAATTTGGCCCTTCCTCTTCCACTCCCTGTCAATGTCATCAGCAGCATTCAAATGCCCACATTGGAAGCTTTGGAGTCATTACTTTCTCTAGATCTTTGTCAGATATCCTCATATCAGAGAGGTCTTCCCTAGCTCCCCTAAACAAAATGCTAATCCCTCCCCACCTCAGAACTCCCTATCCCCATACCCCTCTTTATTTCTTTCCTTAGCATGTATCACCATCTGCATACTAGATATTTACACGTATATTTCTATCTTCCCCATAAGAACGGAAGTCCATGAAGGCAAAGATTCTGTTTTGTCCACTGCTATATCCCCAGTGTCTAGAGCAGTGCCAGGCACTTAGCTGATACTTAATAAGTGTTTGTTGAATGAATGAAAGGAACTTTGATTTCTTCCTCTGCCTCAGACCCCAATCTTCAGAAATTTCCTAACATTCTGCTGTTTTTGTCTTGGAAATATTTCTCAAATCTGTACTCCTGTTGACTTCCTTTTGTTACTGCCCAAGGGGAGTCTTCTGCTCACTGCTAGACATGCCAATAGTCAAGAGGTGAGGAGGCAGGAGAGAAAGGACTTTTTATTATAGCTTGCTAGCAAAGGGGAAGATGGCCGACTAATGTCTGAAAAAAACCATCTTACAGAACAAAGACTACAGGACAGTTATATAGGGGTTGGTCTCTAGGTGGGGAAGGCAACTGATCTCAGGGTGGGGCATCCATCTGATCTCCAGGTGAGGCAGACTTCTTGTCTTAGTTCATTTTTTTTTTTTTTTGGTGAGGAAGATCGGCCCTGAGCTAACTTCTGATGCCAGTCTTCCTCTTTTTGCAGAGGAAGATTGGCCCTGGGCTAACATCTGTGCCTATCTTCCTCTACTTTATATGAGATGCTGCCACAGCATGGCTTGACAAGTGATGCATTGGTGCGGGCCCAGGATCCGAAACTGCGAACCCCAGGCAGCCAAAGCGGAGCGCCTGCGCTTAACCACTATGCCATGGGGCCGGCCCTTGTTTTAGTTCCTGATAGTCTTTTATCTTATTGGATATGCATCAGAGACCAGAGCAACACCCTATACCCTGATCTTTTAGTTGTCCTTGCTGATGGCTATCAGCACAGACTCTCTGTCCAAGGGTCATCACATTCCTAAGGGACTCAAAAGAACAAAGTTATCGACTTATTGCAGCTGGGAGGGGCCATTTAATCCACAGAGCACGTCAGTTAATCAGAGGTCATTGAAAGTCACAATATGGTTTCTTTCCTACAATATGGTTTCCCTTATGTCAACCTTGTATGGAGCCAGTATCAGTTTCCCACTGTCACTGCCTTAGATTAGGACTTGCCACCCCATCCAGAGCACTGTCATGGCCTCCTGGCTGGTCTCCTGAACATGGCTGTCTTCAAAGCTCATTTTCTGCTGTACTAAAGAAGCTCCTTATCTAAAACAGTCCTGAGTGGCTCCTGCCTCTGCTTCAACCCCTTGGATGCTCATTAATGTGGGCCTGACAGACTGGGACTCCCTCTGGAGAGAGAAATCTGAGGAGGACCACAGTTTTGTCCCATTACAAAGTGAGGTTAAGGGAAGGATTGACAGGCAGAGCTCACAGATGTAGGCATTGACAAGTGGAGAGCTGACGAATTGGAGACAAGTGATGGATCCATTAAAAGAACACAGGAGAGACACAGCGAGTGTGGATTGGAATGACTGTGGGGTAGAACTCTCGGATGAGTCATTACAACAGAGATCAACAGCCACACAGGACAGGGAGGGGCTGGAGATAGAGAGAAAAAAAAAGAAATTTAGTCATGCTGAAGTGAGATAGGATTTCCACAACTGCCTACATTGAAAAGCTAAAAATAGGGACATCTGGGGAGAAAAATAGTGAGGAATCTTTTAATTCTACTGACATGGGCTATAAGGAGGGAGGTTTGCAGAGAAGGGTGTGTCTCTCACTCTTGATAAAATTAGAAATAGAAGAATTTTATTTTGGACATTCCAACCTTCACTTTTTTCCTTTCCCCTAAGGCCTGTTCTCTCCATCTTTCCCTGCTATCAAAACCTCTTCTTTAGGAAAGAGTCTGATATGTTTATCCACATAAGTTTATAAGGCTTAATATGGTAATTTTACATGTTAGCAGAAGCTCATGTCTGAAGCCAAAGACGCTTAAATACAGCAACCATTAAAAAAAACCCTATATAATCCACTGTACTCACCATAATGATAAATACAGTGGTTATTCAATAAATATTTATTGAAAAATGTTCAAAAAGTATTCATTATATTATCAAACCCTGGCAACAATCTAAATATCCCACAGTGGAGGACCATTGAAGAACCATCAATATGAAGAAATATTACATAACTACAAAAATATTTTCAAAGCCTTTTTAATGGCCTGGGGAAATGCTTATAACGAAACGAGGGAAAATAAACAGGATTCAAGTTGCTACTATACTATGTCAATTATAAAAATCATATGCATGTACAGAACATTTAGAAAATCTGTGGGTATCTCTGCATTCTGTGGGATTTAGGGGTATTTTTAGTTTCTTCTCTCTACTTTTCTGTAGTTTTGAATTATTTACAACTGGTATGTGACAAATATTGTAAAAGTAAATGTTGTGAAAGATTGATTTGCGGGAGGAAGTACTTTTCAAGGGTCGGTGAAGTCAGAGCTCGCTGGTGTGGCTTGCTTGGTCTACTACAGGGGAGGTAATGGGGAGGAGGTGCTGGTCTCTCCAGTAATAGAGACTGGCTGGTCAGCTAGCAGAGGATGGGTTTTCAGGGAGTAGTATAGCAGTGGGGAGCCCGACCTTTAAAGAAAAAGGGAGTACGTGGTAATATGGGTGCATTGGTGCTTCCAGCCTTGGCAGCCTTCCTCTGGGAGGGGTTCACCCCGCTAGGCTAATGGGTTCTTCCAGCATCTAGAACACTGTGAGCTCCTGACTCTTCCTCACCTTTTGTTTCTTAAACACTAAAGACTGGCTCAGGTGGTGAAACATGTTGATTTTCGCCCTGCTCCTCCACCGTCTTCTGTTTAAAATACAGCTATAAGATTTATTGAAACCCTTTGTGTTGGTACCTCAGTGGTATTCTACATTAATATCTTTAAAAATTGAGGTTGTGTGCCATTGTAAGAAAATATTATTTAATATCGTGCCTCTACCATAAAACCTACATAAAAAGCCTTGGTGATCTTCATAAAGAGACCACAGATTTCAGCATTTATAAACACGAAAACATTTTCCTTCGGTTATTTCTAGAAATTCCTTCTAAACATCTGCGTTTTCTTCTAACTTAAAGTCGTTTCCCATCTCCTCTCCTGAGATCTGTTGCCTCTCCGTGGAAGAGGGAACTTCATAGCCGGTATAACACAAACAAACAAGCAAACAAAAACAAAACCTCTTAACAGCAATTTCTATCCGTCTCCAAATTTCTAATTTCTTGCACTTACAAAAAAAAATTAAGTCCTAGGTTTTCCTTGTGTTTCAAGGATCTTGGGATCTAAATGGACAGATTCAACAACTTTGAAAACCTAACCAAACCTAAGATTTTGTTTTTATTATTTATTAGTTATTAAAATATCCAGCCTTCTGATTAAGGAAGGCTGAATGGCAAGAAGGACCGCGGAGGCGTGGCGGAGAAGTGTGAAAAGAAGAAATCCCAGCTCTGCCTGGAAGACAGCGTATGAAGGAGCCCGACTCCTCCGGCAGTTCCAGGCCGCGTTTTGCAGGCGGCCGCATCTGCCTCCCCTGTCTCTCTTACCTCCTTGATGTTCGGCACTATTTGTGGCCGGCGTGGTGGAAGGACACAGTGAGGTTTTCACCCCCGCCCCCCGCCCCCCGCTCCCATCCCCAGTTCCATCAAAGCGAACCCGGGCCAGCGCAAGGATCTCCGAGTTGCGAGTGTGCTGAGGCTGGGACTGTCACTCATTCTCTGATCAGCGCGTGAACGCAGCTCGGCAGCCGCTGGCAGGAAACAATTCTGCAAAAATAATCATACTCAGCCTGGCAATTGTCTGCCCCTAGGTCTGTTGCTCTGCCGCCATCCACACTCGCTGCAAGGGGGGGGCGGCACAGAATTTACGGCGGCAAGAACATCCCTCCCAGCCAGCAGATTACAATGCTGCAAACTAAGGATCTCATCTGGACTTTGTTTTTCCTGGGAACTGCAGGTACATTTTTTAAATTATTATTATTCTCAATCTGGTTTACTCATTGTCTCCCTCCCCTGGCTCTTCCCCCGAGGAACACTGTTATTTCGGATGGTTTTACATGGAATGCTAAGGGTGGTCATTTCCATTAAGCTGAGGAATGAGCGCGTCGCCCTTGCTGCCCAGTCGAGCCCCGCGCCCTCCTGGGCTGCGCTGGACAGGGGCTGCCTCCCCGCGCAGCGAGCGGCGGGCGCCCCTCCAGCGTGTCCGCCCTTCCCACTTTGTGTGTCCGCGGCGCTGGGAGCGGAGCCGCCCGCTCTCAGGAACGCTGCGGCCGCGCCGGTGATGGGCAGCGCTCCTTCCCCGAAGGCGGGCGGCGGGGCGGGGGATGCGGCTGCTCGGTGGTGCCACCGCACAGGCTCGGATTCCGCCGGGAAGGGGCTTGTCAGCTCGGGCTCCGGGAAGAGTGAACAATAAGGCCGGGGAAGACGCCTCCGATCGTTATTTCCCCAGGTCTAATAAAGTGGGGCTCGCCGCGTTCGCGCCCCCACCCCCCGACCCCCCGCCCCGCCCCGGGCCGAATAGCGGTTTGCAAAATGGGGCGAAATGGGCAGAGTCTCAGGGCTGTGTGACCGTTGTTGCACCCCCATCGATATGACGTTAGTTTTTCATTTGCCAAATTGCCGGTTAGTTGCAAAGCCGGCTCTCGGTCCGGAGCACCGAGGGATGGGAGGGTCGAGCGCCGCGTTTTGACAGGAGGAAGTGAGGAGGGGCGGAGGGCGAGGAGGGCGTGATCCGGGATGCCCGATGTGTGTGTGCGCGCGCGTGTGCCTTCACACGCACCTCGAGCCCCGTGTTGCACGGTGCGCGAGAAGAATGGCAGGTAGCCGCCCGAAGCACCTCGCCCCAGTCTCCTTTCTTTGGACGAGGTTCCTTATCCTTGCAAAGTGCGAACAATAGGGAGCTGGGAGGAAGACTGATGCTGCCATGGGTGGCGGGGGCTGTGCCGCCGCCCAGAGAACCTCGGCGGCCGGGAGGGAGGTTCATTTCATTTTGAGTAGTATTTCCATCCCGGCCTCCCTGGAAGATTCTTCTGTGCGTGCCCACCCTCCCCTCCAGCTGCTCCCGCCACCCAGCCCCACCCCACCCCACCCCAGGATTTGTGCTTTGGACGGGAAGGGATAAGAAAAGGAGCAGGGGCCGCCGAGAGCTGGGTGGGGTGGGCGGACATTCTGGGCGAGGGGCGTGTGCTGGGGAGCGCCCGAGGAAACCCGGCGGAGGGGGCTGAGTCGTGGTCGCCGCTGCCAGGTGCCGCTGGAGCTGCTCTAGACGGCCGAGCCTGGGTGGGGGTGCGCGCAGGGCGGTCGGGGAGCACCCAGCGCGCCCCCTCCCCGGGCGGCACGAGAGCAGCGCTCGGCCGCCGCCTCCAGCCAACTCGGGTCCCTCCCTTGGCGACCAATCAGAGCGAGGCTGGCTGGGCGGGAAGCCGCGAGAGGCTTTTATTGCTGCGCGGGTGGCGGCCCGGAGCTGCCAGGACCGTCTCCCGGTGTTCCAGCCTAACGGTCTCGCTCATCCCCCGCCGGGAGGAACCCCGCCCTGCGGCCGGTGCCCTGCCTGCCCCGCAGTTTCCGAGGAAATAAAATGGAATCCAGGTGGTCACTGGCAGGTGCCCGCCCACTCGCACCCCTTTCACGCTGACTTGGAGCATCCTCCCGCCGGCTTCAGCACACACACTCCCGCCGCGTAGTCCCGACCTGAGCGCGTCGCTTTGGAGAGCGCCGTGGCAGGGCGCTCCGACGCGCGTGCGCCGACCGGCCGGCAGTGGGATGTGGGCGAAGCTGGGGGCGGGGCGATGCGGGGGCGGGGCCTCGTCGGCGGGGGGTGGGGGGCCGGCAGAAGGACAACGCCGATCCGCGCGTCGCTGGGTCCCCGCCGCCACCTGGCAGGGGGCCGCCCGGGGCTTGCCTTTTTCCATCGTGCCCCAGGTCTCCGCGGCACGACCTCCCGGCTCAGGGGTTTGTGTTTCTGGGACTTCCTCCCCTCTAGGTGGGGGCGTGACAGTGGAGACCTGATCTTTGGTGGGCCTTTGGGGGATTGCCCCGCAGTCCTTTCCGTCATCGTGATGAGTGTAACCCTCAGTGTTTGGATCCCCGGGGAGTTGTATGCGGTACACGCCCAGGGAATCCCAGGTTGAGACGTTTGCAGCTGTCCAGTCAAAGGTGGTATTCTGACCAATGTTCCCTGTAAGGAATGCGTCCTCATTTCTGGCCCTAGTACTGTGAGGATGGGAAGAAGGCAGAGCATGAAACATAAAAGATTGCATTGCTTAACAAAAGAAAGAAGTTGAGCGGTTTTTCAAAGAGAAATAATTTTCCATTAAAGTATTGTTTCTACCATAGTTTTAAAAATTTGAAGATTTCAAGTCAAAGGATCAGGACAAAAATAAAAACAATAACACACACATATTTTTGGCCACAAATGTTGTATCATCTCCAGGGACAATTGGTAGTTCAGTCTCTGCTCCACTTGGTGCATATGAAAATTTAGATGTAAAGTGTGTTAGCCTTATGCCAGACGAATCAGGTCTGCTGCCCCTCTTTTAGTTTAGTGTCTTTTGCTCTTTAGGAATAAAGTGAAGGGTGGTGGAATTACGTAGCAAATTTGAGTCTATTCTAACAGCAATTTTGGATGTTTTGTGGAAAAACGATTTGATCGAATGGTTAAGTCATACCTTTAATAATTTTACAATCCTCTGCCAATTTAACTTGCAAGAGTCAAGGAATGGATAGGACTGGTTTTCTAACAGGATAGCGCCAGATTAAGAACAAAGAGCACTGGTGCTACCTTATCTTCGCTAGCTAGCACGTATATAGAGTGTATGTAACATTCCTCACTAGATGAATTCAGGAGTGTTTCAGCCGAGTTTGCTGTGAGTTCAATTACTGTGAGCTATATTTTTTCACTGATTTTCATTTTAAGATCAGAAATATGTCTTTCTGAATAAAATTTAACAGAATGTAATAAAGCCATGTTTAAGAATGTGGAATACCTTTCACAACTTTATCCAAAAACCAAAAATTTAATTTCCTTTCAACAAATATTAGCATATTTTAAAATATTGACAGTAACAGAATTTGTTTAAAATTCAACAGAGTTAAACAAAAAGAGAATATAATGCAGACATTGTAGAAGTGTGGCCTGTCATTTGTTTTTGAGCTACTATTCCTGCTACAAAGGTTCTAAAGATTTACCAGTCGAGCTAAAACTGACATTGTTTTTTTAAGTCAATTTTTCAAGAAACTGTCCCCTTCTTCCCTCAACAGATTGAATTCGTTGACTTCTTTCCAGATACCTTTACCCGGGATCTATTTTTTTTTTTTTAATAATACTAGAATAGCAGAAAATAGCAGGACATTTCCTTGTTCAATAAAGGAGGTTCATCCAGGTCTTTATGCTAATTGATTAAATTAAGGATTTGTTGATTTAACTGGTGACTGTCTCTTGAGCTTGATAGTTCAAGAATTAAGGTAGTAATTGTTTGCCCAAAAAACCCCCCGAAACAAAAATAACTCAAAAAATTATGGTGTGGGTGTGCTATTCCCAGGGGCTTTGGGTGCTTACTCAAGGTAGCAATAAGAGGGAGAAATTAGTCACATGGAACCCCCCAATTCTAAGAGTTTTGCATAGTGCTTCTCTTTACAATATATTTATCGTTAATTGACTTCCTCTGAAAGGTAATACGTAATTTAAAGTAAGTAATCTGTATCTGTATTTTTCTGTCACAGAGAACAATGTCTTAATTGCCTTTAAAAATAAATAGCACCATTTTGTCATTCAAAAACTAATCTTTAAACATGACTGGTTTTTTTTTTCCCTGCGGAACTCCGTTTCTTAAATAATAGGCAGCATCCTGTAAACTTCATACTGCTTGAAATATGGACTTGGGACATTCTGATCCAACCACTTAATTTTTTAAAGCAACAATCCTCTATTGAATATTAGTTTGATGAATTTCCCATATTTACATCTTCGGTGTGCAAGAACTGTGGCCGCTTTCCAGACTGAAAGTGACTTCAAAGCTACTGGCAGACCTCCAAAGATATTTTACACAGTCCTCCCTGTCTTAGTGTAAAATAAGTGATTGACTACCTGTTGCTAAAGGACAGTTTGAACTTTCCCTGCCAATCTTGGGTTTGTGGTGATGGAGAGCAGAACCAATTGGCAGGGAGGGGAGAGGGGACCGCACCTGCCCCAGTCTGTCTTCTGGGAACAGTCAGCCTGGGAGGAGACAAAGGCATTTTAAAAAGGCTCTCCTGTACAACTTAAGTCTTGAGTTTTTGAGCACACAAATGTTTTATGGTGTCAATACAAATATTCTAATGTAAATTCCATCATTGTTAGTGATCTAACAAATACATAGGCTAGGAAACGTCTGGAACTTTAAAAGAAATGGCAGAAAATTACGGATAGCATTTTACTAGTCTTAAAAATGGGTTACAAATTAAACAAATTTGAAAGCATGAATCAACTGGCTATATAATAAAAATGGCTATTTGACTTTGAATAAAAAAGTAAGGTTAAGATTCCTCTAGTTAAAATGAAGAAATATGAGTAAGGTTCAGAAGAGAATTTTATACATCTCTTAAAATTCTCAGCAAGTCCCTGAGCAATATTGTAAGAGATGGTCTCTTAGGAAGAGAGAAATGCCCAAGGACCTGTCTGAATCCTAATCATTAGGTCCAGAGTTTTTCGTATGAAAAAACAATGTAGTGAAACTATTACCAATAATACAGGTGCATGCACTTACTACTGTAGGACACTAAAATTCAGAAGTTAATCTGAAGGTCACAGGCGTGTCACCTCTAGCCCTTTTTGTTATTAACTCGTGGTGCCAAACCTTAAAATGCTTTGCTGATGTAAAGGGATGTAAATTATTTGGCGTTGCCAGTGGTGCCATTATGCCCTTTCATTTCATGGTGTTGAAATGCTGTCCCTCAGCTGAAGATGCTCATTAGGAGCAT